CACTTACCCTGTCGTTCACGCCTCCAAACTCGCACCTTTCGAGGAAACTGATCAGTTTCCTTTCGTCGCTCAATGCTGCCCCCAACCATGGATGGATAGGTTGACATCAATGACATCGTGGACCACAGGGAAATGCCAGTTCCAAGACCAACAGGCAGGGCACGTCCTCCTAAGCCGAAGCTACAGTATTGCACACTGATCCTAAGGAGGACAGATGGTTTACCAGGGAGAACCTGATTCAGACCGCTCCACAGGCTGTCGCACACTACGAGAAGTCACTGCAGAAAGGAAAGCGCCAGATTGAGTAATGGGACTTCTCAGAGGACTGTCGAAGTATGGAGGAGGGAATGCGAGGCTCAAGGCCTCGATACGCCCTACTGGGCCCTATTTTCAGTACAGTCAGCCGCCCTAAGTGAAGGCAGGCTCGACCAAGGCCTACAGGCCCATTTTTGGTGTCACCAAGCAACTGGGGAAATTCAGGCAGTTGCGCAGCGCCCGTTGGTTGAGAGCCCCCAGGCCCAGGCTGCCTTTTTCGTATGTAACTGAGGCAGGCCCTGGGCCAGATATGCAACATGGGCTGAACACAGGCTGCGAGCAGTTGGGCACAGGAAACCACCACAGGCCCTGGGCCTGATTCGTTCGGACTGGGGCTCCGCCTCACGGGGCCTACCGGAAGCTTCTGGATCGAGGCCCAATGCAGGCAGGCCACACGCAGCAGGCAGGTCACTTCCATTTAGGAAAGTGCCTGCCCCAGCACTCCTCATTCGGGCACTGGCTCCATGCTGCGCAAGCGCTGCTGCACTAACGCTGGCCCTCTCTCTATTTTATTATTTTATCTAATTAAGATCATATTCTATTATATACTATTGATCTGATTATATTATATTAATTATTGTGCTCTACTATACCACAATTAAACTACTTTCTTTTATTTTCAATTTCATACGGAATTTCAAAGTGGCCATCTACCACAAGCTGTTTGATCTACAGTCCTGCACAACATTTCTTTTCACTTTTTGAAAACTTTCAGGTTTTCTAATGTTGTGACGGGGCTCCCACATACGTGGCCAGCCAGGGCCATCCACACAGCCCCTACCTCGCTGGGGCCACCCTTTCCTTAGGCTTACCGGCCGTTGATCACAATGGGAGGTGGAGGCAGCGCACTGTGCTTCGACGAGGTGGTGCTGTGGAGTGAGGAGAGTCAAAAGTAGTAGTTATTAGACTCATGACTCTCTTTTTTTTTCTTTTTTTTGTTTAGGTGGCCCTTGAGGAGAGCCTCCAGGCAGAGGTCGGAGGACGGACATGAACGTTGTATCTGTCTATTGGTTACATTCTTGAATTTTCCTCTTTCCATCTTCTCCTTCTCTATTTCGAGTCATGTCGCTTCATTGTTATTGCTTTGCGAGTTGTCATTCATTGAACTTTGCGAGTACAGGCATGATGAAGTGAGCTTCAGGAGATGGGTTCAATAGAGGTCCGTTTTGACTCCTTTTTATTACTTCGTTTTCCCTACTCTTAAAGGCAACAGCCGGTCTCGCGTGACGCATCCCGCTAAGACCTTTTTCCAGCGCGGGTCCGGTGCACCGTGGGCCCAGCGCGGTTTTTTTGTTTACGGCCGTTTTTTTTTTGGGGTTGGTGTCGGCACATTTTTTTGTTTACGGCCGTTCTTGGGGGAGAGGGGGGGGGGAGTGGCGCGGCTTTATGAATCGGGTCATTTTTCGCTGCGGGTTTGTTTTGCGCCGCGCCGTCGATTGCAGAAAGTGTTGTCCGGCAAGTGTCTGCCATATTCAACCAGGTAGTGTATATTTCCATGTTCTAGCGGAAGATTCATTCGATTTCGCTCATCCTATCGATGGAAGTAGCATGACGCCAGCCGCGAGGTTGGAGACTTATCTGGTCTCTCTCTCTCTCTCTCTCTCTCTCTCTCTC